AAAAAAAAAAAATTGTCTATAAAGTTGTGGCCAGATATGTGTTACCACTCTGAAATAATAGTTTAAAGTAATTCATTTATGAAAGGTGAGAAAAAGCAATACTAATTAATAAATTTTTACTTATAAAAGTTGAATGTTCCAGCAAATATAACTTGCGAAATAAAGGCGACAGCGTTCTACGTTGTTAAATCATAAAATCAGTTGAAATAACGTATATATTTATTTAAGAGTAATTCAATTAAATATTTCTATTTAAATATCTTAGTTTAAATATTTAAAAGCATAAATTTTAGCATAGTCGGGTGGTCGAATTATTTTGCGAGGGTGATGGAATAGATATATGTATTTATTGATATGAAGCGGCTAGTAGCCCTAAAGAGTGTACTTTTTAGGATATATACATACATCCTACACACCTCTTCTCTTCTCCTCACACTCCAGGAGGAGGTGTAATGATTTTCTTTCGGGGGAGTCACAAAAGCGACATTAGATCGCTTGACGAGATCCCTTGCTTATTAAAGTGGCCTTTTAGCATTGGGGCGAGTTAACAGGCAACTTTTAGTAATAAGCAACTAATCGCTTTCAATCATGTTTGGAGGCAGCCAACTTTTGCTTAAACTTATTCCCTCTAAAATTGCCTTTAAAATCGCCTCATGTCAACACCGGTTTAGATTACACCCTATTAGTAAGGTCTTAGCTTAACGAAGACCCGTGGTCTTTCGCCAATTCAGTTCTCTCAGGTGCTGCTCAACAACAAATTAATGGGAAGGCACATCGTATAGCGAAAGTCTGCTAGCCAAAATGACTTCTAGGCTGCCCATTTATTTTATCGGCTCTAGTCTGTTACTATTAGGCTAAAAGAGGTTTTAGAAAGTTCCCGATCTATATAAAGTCGTTTTTATTATGGTTCTTCCTAATTTGAAAATAGTATTCGTGCGGTTTTAGTAGAATTTATACCCACCCTTAAATAAAAAAAAAAAAAATAATAATAAAAACTTGGGGTATTCACAACGGTGTCGTAAGTGCCATATCGTTTTATGTAAATAACATATTAAGGGAGTTCGCAAAGTACCATCAAAGTCATATTATGATTTTTTGTAGTGCTAAAAAATAATTGGTTGACGTTTCAAGTTCTCTAAACATTTATTTAAGCTTTTAAAGTTTACGACGTACAACAATACGACACTTACGACACCGTTGTGAATCGCTCAATTATACAATTATTTACCCACTTATGAAATTATCTGCTTTCCATGCTATACATTTATGAAAAGCATTTTTTCCCATTCTTCACCCATGAATATTTATTTTGTTTACAAAAAATGGCAAGTAATCGATCACCCTACAGCCTTCATAATTACATTTTTATCTTACTAAATAAATACATGTATCCGCCACCCTTAACACTTTTTCTTTTTTACCTCGCCAGAGATTTGTTGTTAACATTTTTACATATTCTTTAAAACATTTGGTAGCAAAAGACTACGTTTAGCACTTTTCTCACTTCAAATAATCGTACATATTTTTTAAGTCGGTTCCGACCATTTTTATTTCAGCGTATTGGCGCCAGCAAATTGTTCTCAGATTAAGCGAATATTCTTGACTAATCCATTACTTAAATAGAACGATACCGCACTTTTGTGATCAGCGGCATTACAATTTAGAGCATGTAGAACATATATCAGAGGTTCCATTTACATATATACATATACATATGAAATGCATCCCACACCTTTGCTGAACAAAGCTCTAAGGTACTTTTAGAAATTATAAGGTGTTATTTCCTCAAGTCCCTCCAATAGCTTTGGCAACCATATTGTCCATTTAAATTCAGCTTACGCTGAGAATTTAGCAGCTAAAAGCCCATCCTGAGAATCAAAAAGCTTCCATTCTGCATTTCTTTCTCCTTTCTTTGTTTTTTGTGTGGAGTGACACGAATTGAAGGGCTTCGGCTTTCGCTATCCATGGAAGGGCTTCCAGAACGGCATTTGTGGGACGTTTGGAGGCGTTTTATTGCTATAGCTTTTTTTTGGTATTTATTAAAGGTTCAGGTCAAATATGTTTTATTGCAACTTAAAATACATATTAATATTCATATATAATGTTTATAAACTTATACTTTCGCGTAATGTTTGAATTGGAAAAACCCTTCTAGACGGCAAGCAGAAAAACATTTTTTCGCACCTTCTTGCGCCTTTTAGAATTGCTTCATTTAAAGCGTCCTTCCTAAATTATGTTCCGGGCCATTTCTTCAGAAAATTTAACCTTTTTTGGAAAAAAAGTCAAAAATATAGCCCATAGATTTTCATACGTATCCCAACTGAACAACTTCAAGATGCACATCACACAATGGTGGAGAAGTTTGGCCAAACATTCGGCAAAAGTGTAAGCGCCAAAATATTACTATATGATAACTTTAACTTTGGCTTTCGGTTTATACTCCGTTTCTCATCATTATTAATAATTTCAAAACGTTTTGATAACAGACAATTTTAATTGAAATTTTTATGAAATATCGCTAATGCACAGCGCAGTGGCCTTAAAAGCGGCAAGGCCAAATTTTCTTTTTGTTAATCTAAAAAAGGTTTTCCGGATGCCAAGGTAACTAAAGTTAATTAATATAAGCGTTCGAGTCGACTTTGTTGTCTGCAAGTTCCCCTTTTTTTAATATGTGCCATATATGTAATTATGTTGCGATGAAAAAATGGTATGTTAAAAAAAGTTAATTGTATGTTTTGCAGAATGTTGTTACCATGAAAAATGAATGCGTGTTTTTAACAGAGTCAACTGAGCTTTAATTCACAGTAATTGTTTTTGTTAAAATGTTAACAATATATGTATGTATGTCTGGCGTGGCAAAGAAAAGGTGTTAGGGGTGGTGTAGTATAATAGTGATGCTACCCATATACATATGTACATATATGTATGTACACATAAATATATGCATGTACATAGGTGCGTTCATCACACGCTCCGGAATTAAGCCTTTCTATTTAATTATTCAAGCCTTTAGATAAATATCTCTTAAAATGCAAAAGTTTGTTCGTGTTTATGTACATAACTCTATTTGTAATAATTTAAAATACTTCCGCATTGTGTAAGGCAACAGCTTGTGGCAGCGATTATCTGGTTACCGCTGTATAGCCGCTTGCTGTATTCACATTGTAAATTCACCTCTTCCTAATTTTTTTCTCTCACTTTACTTTGTCTTTTCTGAATTTTTTATTTTTTTTTATGTAAATGTGTACGCCCGTTTGTCCCTTTGGATGCGAACCTTTTTAATATAATTAGAACAAAATATGCTCATTGCAGACTTGAAGCGCGAAGCGACAATATGCCACATGCTGAAACATCCGCATATAGTCGAGTTGCTGGAGACGTACAGCTCAGAGGGCATGCTGTACATGGTGTTCGAATTGTATGTATGCTTTCAATTCAACATTGTTTACATATTACATACATACATACATATATACCTGCACTCACTAGAAAACGTTGCCGAAAAGAGATTTCTTTTTACCATATTCATAATATCAATTTTTAATAAAAAACTGTTTCGTTAATTTTATGTAAAAATATATAATCCATTCTGTAATATGTATAAACCATTTACATATGATTTTCAAATTGTGTCTCTAATTTAGAAAAATTGCCAAAATTTTAGAAAGGCCAGAATTTTACGAAAATTTTTTGGTCTGCAGTTTTATAGTACATTTAATTTTAATACTCGGTAACTCGGTGTTCGGTAATTTTTCTCATATACTTACATATTTTCTTTGCGTAAAAATTATTTTATTACCGGTTTACCGAATACCGAGTTAACGTGGTGGCAAGCGTGATAATTTTATTTGCACCTGTTGTCGGAAGGCATAACGCAAATGATTAAGTAAAATTCATTCAGTTTTCTGTTACAACTTATTTTTTATGGGAAAAAGCACGAGTCAGCTGTTGATAAACATAGTTTACCAGACTAACAAAATTAAGCTGAAAAGGACGTTTACAGTTGATAAAATTGCCGAATACCAACTAGTAGTTGGTTATAAAAATGCATACCAAACAATTTCTTAAAATTGTTACAAAAGTTTTGAAATTTTGCTGAAAATCAGGCAAATTTTTCAAAATTTTAGACTAACTTTGAGAATTAGATTTAAATAGTCTATACTATGGAATGAACAATGGACGTAAAAATTTGTTTATGAATATTGTAAAAAAAATTCTGTACAGAAACTTTTTCTAGTGGGTGTATTTATAACAAACATATTCATATACATACATACATACATACATACATACATGATACAGAAAATATTGCAACAATTTTACACTTGATTTTGAAAATATGTATTGCGTTAATTTTTATTGTTGTTGCTTTGCTCGTTCGTTTTTTTTGTACTTGTAGCATGGAAGGCTCCGATTTATGCTTTGAAGTGGTGCGTCGCGCTGTGGCTGGCTTTGTGTACAGTGAAGCTGTGGCATGGTTAGTATAATTAACTCAATCCTTCCAATTATTCGTTCATTATGTTCACATTACCAACTCATCTACTTAAATTCAATACATACATACATATGCACAAATATACACATATGTATGTAACAACAGTGACACGTGCTAATGAAACAAAAAACCTTCCTAAAGTCATTACATGCGTCAAATTTTGGAGGCTTTACGTTACTGCCATGAAAACGATATTTTGCATAGAGATGTAAGGCCGGCGTGCGCACTGCTCGCGACCGTAGACAATTCAGCGCCGGTGAAGTTGGGTGGCTTTGGCTCGGCTATACAGCTGCCGGGCGGCAGAGAGACGATCGAAACACATGGTACGTTTGATTTAGCTACATACACAAAATTTAGCTTGAACCAGCACATTTTCAAATACTTAATAAATATTTTCATTGTCTGAAAAATTTGTAAAGGTCGCGTGGGTTGTCCGCACTATATGGCGCCCGAAGTGGTGACGCGGCGTTTATATGGCAAAGGCTGTGATGTTTGGGGTGCAGGGTAATGCTGCATGTGCTGCTGTCCGGTCGTTTACCGTTCCTGGGCTCGGGTATAAGACTGCAAAATTCCATAGCACGTGGCCGTGTTTCAGTAAGTATTGGATGCACTTTCCGAATTTCTGAAATTCATAGCCGACACTTTAACAAGTTTTGGCTAGTTTTCTTTTTTATCCAATATTTATTTTTTTTTTATAAATGTATAGCTCACTATCTAACAAAAACATGTAAGTCAAAACTTCAAGAGTACAAGACTTTAAATGACGAATGAAAATGTCTCTTTCAAACTATTAGTGTGCTATTTATATATAACTCAGAAGTCCTAGGACGTACTACTCGTTTTAGTATATGAAATGATGACGATTTGCATCATTTCCTCATTGTATAAAATAATTACTTCAAAATAAATCAAGAATTTAATTAGTTAGGTATATAACGTCTATTTTCTTGGCAATTTTTTTTGCGCGATGTTGCACATTTTCCTCCTATAAAATAAATTGTCAGCAAAAAAAATATAATATAAATAATAATGGTATAATTATACTAAACTTTAAGAGGTTACAAAACTGCATACCTACATTTTTACAAAAAATCTGAGTAAAAAGTTTGAGATTTTAATAAAACTTCGTGATTTTTCCTAATTTTTGTACAAAGTTAGAAATACGGACTCACGTGCCTTTTGTTATATATGTAGCTATACTTTCATAGTTTCATAAAAAATAATAAACATCAAATAGCCCAAAGAAAAAATAGCTAAAAGTTGTTAAAATGTCGCGTTCCTATTTATTTTCCCGCTACTGTATGTATATACATATTGCATCACGATTACAGCTCAACCTAATTAATAATGTTGATTTATTGTAATTTAGTTTGAGGCTCCAGAATGGAAATCGATTTCTGCAACGGCAAAAGATTTGGTTATGAAAATGCTGGCTGCGAATCCACAGCACAGACCGTCGATAACGGAAGTATTGGAGCACCCTTGGATGCGGGTAAAAATATTACATACTTTGACACTTATAGCCGGTTTCACCGTCATTTTAATAATCCATATACAATTCAAAAAAATTGAGATATTTTCACTTAAATTGTTTTCTTGAAATTGGCTGTTAAGAGTAGAACTTCACATCAGAGTTTTCTGATGATTAGCACTTAACAAGTTATCAGCGTGTAATCTGAGTGTAGCGCCGAAAATCTGAAAAAAAACCCTCAAAAGCGCTGATAGCCTGAAAACACTGGTATATAGTTTTACACTTACATATCGATGGCTGAGTGCAAGATCGACCTATCTCGGCAGCCAGCTCGAAAACGCCCTTTTTCAGAAAACTTTTCAAGAACGCCCTAATTCAGAATTTGATTGAAAAATGCCCTATCTCAGAATTTGGTTGAATAACGCCCTACCTCGGAGTTCGGTTCAAAAACACCATATCTCAAACGAAAATACATTTAAAATAAATTGAGATAGGGCGTTTTTCAATAAAAATCTGAAGTAGTGCCTTCTTGAAAAGTTTTAAAATACATGAATGTTTTTTGCTAAACTCACTCTTTTTAGGATCGTGATAAGCTTCAACGTCAACATTTGGCGGACACAGTCGAGGAATTGAAACGTTACAATGCGCGTCGCAAACTAAAAGGAGCTGTACAAGCCATTGCAGGTGGCACAACGTTGGATCCACTGTTTGGCACAGACACTGACTCAAGTAAAATATTGTATTTTAAATGCTTTGGTGCTATGTACTTTATATGCAATTTTCTTTTATTATAGTGCCCGTAGCGTCTGCCTCGGACATGTTAAATGAATGGGCTGATGAAGAAGCGGGCATTGAAGCTGTGCAACGCATTTTAGACTGCCTAGATGATATTTATGCGCTGCAGGATTTCAATGTCGATCCAGAAGTGTTGCGTGAAATGTTGCGCGATGGCCGATTACACCAGTTTTTACAGGTTAGTTGGCACTTGATATAACTATAACTTGGATATATTCCGCAATAAAATTGCTAAATTTTTTGTTTATGTTTTAAGCAGTTGTTTGATCGAATTAGCTCGACCGTGATGTCACCATCCCGTGCACCTCCAGGTGATGCCGTAGCGCGGTGTAGAGATGTTATCGAGTCAGTTTCATCGGTCGGCGGAAATAAGTATTTAAAAGACGAACTGATGGCAGTTTTAGCTTCGTCACATTTCCAGGTATGTTGTAATTTAATGTTATTGAAAAATATAAATTCAGTTAAAGGTGAAATGGCAAGAATTTGACATTTAGCACAAAACACGTTAAGGAGTAAACACAAAAACGATGGATGCGTAAATTGAAAATAAAATATACGTACATAACTAGAAGTTATTAAACTAATTGCAGCCTTATAGCAAAAAAATCGAGTTAAGGCATGCACACCAGTGACACATGCATACATATGCGTACATGTACATGAATACAATTTTTACGTTTTTAAGTTCCGTTTCGCGTGGAAACATTTTGGTATGTAAGGGACTAAAATGTATATATACATACATAGTAAGTAGTGTTATAAAACAATTGGCGGCATTTCTTTAGTCATTCTGAACGTTTGGAATAAACTTTTTTGTTAACTTTTTCTTTAGAACGCTCCTGATGATATGTTAACGTATATTTCAAACGCATCCTGTTTATTCTGGCTGTGAAATGGGATTATCTGAAATGTATAAAGAAACGCAGCCATTAAAAAAAGTGATTTGTATAATTTTTTAAAATTAGTCCAACTGCTGCAATTACATTCTAGAAACCGCACACTTACTTCATAAGGGTCACAACTCAAACATCAGGTCCGCAAATATAACTGCTTGTGGATCGTAGACAGTAGTTTTCTAGTTAGAGAAAAAAATATTTGCACTAATGGTAGATAAATCCTACGAATTGATTTATGCAAAAACATCGACCTAAATTTTTTGAGTTGTGCCTCTTTTGAAGAGGTTGTGTTTCATTTACTAAAATAATGTCACAACTCAAAAACAAAGTTTTCCAGGGGACTCGTTTTGTGTGTACAATTTGCTCCCGAAGTGTATGTATGTAGAAAAAAGTGATGCAAATTGTATTCCTACGTTAAACTACACAAGATTTTAGGACGAAATTTGTGCTCAATGGGCCGTACCTAAGCAATTGCTTTTTCTTAAAATTTCAGACCTTTTACTTAAATTTATTTCAAACAAGTAAGAAAGTCTAAGTTCGGGCGGAGCCGAACATTAAATACCCGGTATTAAATATATGTTTTTTACCTTTCCGAAAGCTACCGCTCCATGGTAAACCGGGGTGTACCAATTTTGAGTAAATTAGCGTCCTTAAATTTCGAAATATTGAAGTTTCAAGCATTTCTGAAATTTACTGTTATATGAAAAGCGGCCGTAATTTGAGTTCGATTTCAATAATTTTCAACGTTTTGCTTCTATGTGGCAAGCACAATAACCACACCGAGTTTGGTACAAATCGGTAGAACGGTTACCGAGATACANGACGGACGGACGGACAGACAGTCACCGCTTAATCGATTTCTCTTTTCATTCTGATCATTTATGTATACATTTGTCTATATCTATCTCGATTCGTTTTGCCTGTTACAAACAACCGTTATGTGAACAAAGTTATAATACCCTTGTGCACAAGTGCGCTCGGGTATAAAAATCTAGTAAAAGGTCTGAAATTCTAAGAAGAAGTCATTGCTTAGTTCTTATTCATACAGGCCAATATCAAGCATTAATGAGCGATATGTATTCAGAAAATATTTTTAACTAGTCGTGAACATAAAACATAGAGAGACTTATACCGAAAAAAATGACAAAGACCGAACTTGCGCTTCTTTGATGACTACACTTAACCCACTACATAGTCCGCTGCAAATTGTTCGAATTTATTATGAAATCAACGTAGAGTTTGCCAGCAAATCCACGGCTACAACCATTCACGCAAATAAACCAGTAACAGACATGGATAAAAATCGCTAATCAAAGCCGCAAAGAAAATGATCTGGGTTTGGCAAAGTAATTTCTAGTCACTACAGTGTTGGCTTATATTAAGAAGCAAAATAATTTGTACTGCTACTTTTAATTTTAAGCAGTGTGGTGGTTAACTCATCCCTTTAGCTTCACCACTGACATTGCCGCTGATTTATATGTGAAAACATCGCAAAACATATTTTGAACCACTTTTTGTTACTGACCGATCGAGTCCAAACCCTGTAATTTTTGAAGTGAAACTTCTTTGCGCTCCGTTGGTTTTAAATACAAACATCGATGAAACGAAAGA